CAATTCCATTCAAATTAGACTAGCAATTCGCCAAAAACGAACAGATCCGAAATTATCAAGAAATTAAAATCCACTTTTCAATAGCTGGATTCGAATCGAATTAGACTACCAATTCGCCAAAATGAACGAACTCGACGATATCATGAAATCAAAAGCCACTTTTCATTGGCTCGATTCCAATCGAATTAGACTAGCAATTCGCCGAAAACGAACAAACCAGAAGTTATCATGAAATCAAAAGCTACTTTTCATTTACTTGATTCTAATCGAATTGGACTGCCAATTCGCCAAAAACGAACAAACCCGAAGTTGTCATGAAATGTAAAACCACTTTTTTTGCTCAATTCCAATCGAATTAGACTAGCAATTCGGCAAAAATGAACATACCCAAAGTTATCATGAAATCAAAAGCCACTTTTATTGGCTCGATTCCAATCGATTTAGACTGGCAATTTGCTAAAAACGAACAAACCCGAAGTTATCATCAAAATGAAAAATCACTTTTTATTGGCTCGATTCCAATCGAATTAGACTAGCAATTCGCCAAAAATGAACAAACCCGAAGTTATCATAAAATCAAAAATCACTTTTCATTGGCTCGATTCTAATCCAATTAGACTAGCAATTCTCGAAAAAATGAACAAACTCAAAGTTATCATGAAATCAAAAAGCACTTTTCATTGGCTCAATTCCAATCAAATTAGACTAGCAATTCGCCAAAAATGAATAGATCAGAAGTTATCATGAAATCAAAAACCACTTTTCATTAGCTAGATTCAAATCGAATTAGACTACCAATTTGCTAAAATGAACAAACCCGAAGATATCATGAAATCAAAAGCTACTTTTCATTGGGTTGATTCGAATCGATCTAGACTAGCAATTCTCCAAAAACGAACAAACCCGAAGTTATCATGAAAATAAAAAGCCACTTTTCATTGGCTCGATTTTAATCGAATTGGACTACCAAATTGCCAAAAACGAACAAACACGAAGTTATCATGAAATGAAAAACCACTTTTCAATGGCTCGATTCCAATCGAATTAGACTAGCAATTCGCGAAAAACGAAAAAACCCGAAGTTATCTTGAAATCAAAATCAACTTTTTATTAACTCGATTCCATTCAGTTTACACTAGCAATTCGCCAAAAAAGAACAAAGTCGAAGTTATCATGAAATGGAAAACCACTTTTCTTTGGCTTGATTCCAATCGAATTAGATTAGCAATTCACCAAAAACAAACAAACCCGAAGTTATCATGAAATCAAAAGCCACTTTCCAATGGCTCGATCCCAATCGATTTAGACTAGCAATTCTTCGAAAACCAAAAAACCCGAAGTTATCATCAAAATGAAAAATCATTTTTCATTGGATTGATTCCAATCGATTTAGACAAGTAATTCGCCAAAAAGGAACAAGCCCGAAGTTATCATGAAATGAAAAACCGCTTTTCCTTGTCTCGATTACAATCGAATTAGACTAGCAATTACCCAAAAATGGACAAACCCGAAGTTATCATGAAATCAAAAACTACTTTTCATTGGCTTAATTCCAATCAAATTAGAGTAGCAATTCGCAAAAAACGAACAAACCCGAAGTTATCATGAAATGAAAAATCACTTTTCTTTTGCTTGATTCTAATCGAATTAGACTAGCAATTCGTAAAAAATGAACAAACCCGAAGTTATCACGAAATCAAAAGCAACTTTTCATTGGCACGATTCCAATCGATTTGGACTAGCAATTCGCCAAAAATGAACAAACCCGAAGTTATCATCAAAATGAAAATCACTTTTCTTTGGCTCAATTCCAATCGAATTGGACTAGCAATTCGCCAAAAACGAACAAACTTGAATTATTATGAAATCAAAAACCACTTTTCACTAGCTCGATTCTAATCGAATTAGACTAGCAATTCACAAAAAAACGAACAAACCCGAAGTTATCATGAAATCAAAAACTACCTTTCATTGGCTCAATTCCTATCAAATTAGACTAGCAATTCGCAAAAAATAAACAGATTCGAAGTTATCATGAAATCAAAAACCACTATTTATTAGCGGGATTCGAATCGAATTAGACTACCAATTCGACAAAACGAACAAACCCGAAGATATCGTGAAATCAAAAGCCACTTTTCATTGGCTCGATTCCAATCAATTTAGACTAGCAATTCTCCAAAAATGAACAAACCTCAAGTTATCATGAAATGAAAAGTCACTTTTCATTGGCTCGATTCCAATCGAATTGGATTACCAATTCGCCAAAAACGAACAAACCCGAAGTTATTGATAAGTGTGTTTTTGCACACTTATTTAGATTACAAACATGACTTAAATACAAGCAAAATGATTGAATTGTGACTTAATCTCATTGAATTCATGCAATGTAGGTGTTTCTATGGAAATAGTGGAATTCAGGAGAAGAGAGCCGAAAAAGGACTAAAATGGAGCAAAGTGATAGTTCAGGGACTAAGGATGCAAATATTCGAAATTTGAACTAAAAGACAACTCGGGAATGCAAATATGCTAAGTATGAACTCGAAAGCAATACAAGATGATTGGAAGAAGAAGGAATTGCAAAGGGACTAAAATGAATTAAACTGAAAGTTCGGGGACCAAGTTGCAAATAATTCATAGATGAGACGGGAAATGGAATGAAGATTCAAGAGTGTTAGAAGTCAATCGGATGAGGAAAGGAGTCACGAGGTGAAATAGGGTCGAAGTATTATCAAGTATCAACTTTCAGGCGAAAAAGCTATGCTAGTGATTTTTAGTATCTAATTGAGATCTATTTTCGGCATAGTAAAAATCAGAATTTGAGGAAGTCTATTTCTATCAAAAATGTAGATCTTTGAGTTTTCTTCTCAATGCATTTTGAATCACTTCAATTGAAGATTAGACAAGAAAGTTATGACCAAATTACTAAAAGCTGTCCGGCGAAAAGAATGTATGCCTATGCGGTCGCATAGAATCCTCCCGAGAATTTTTTCTCAAATTTTGTTTACTCTATGCGACATCATAGGTTATGCCTATGCGGTCGCATAGGTATAATCTGGGGGCCATTTTGCAGTTTCCTTATACGATTGAAACTCCTTTGGTAACCTAATTTCCACGCAATTCAAATACGAAAGAACGTCCAGAAGAAGGGGAGAACGTAATTGGAGGCACAAAACACAATTTTGGAGGATTTGGAGAGGAAGAACAAGGCAAAAACAAGGCAATTCACTTCAAAATTCAAGATTTCACTTCAAGAATCAACTGGGTGATGTTCTTCCTTGGTTTTAATTGTTGTTTTTCTTTATTTCCAATTATGTTAGGTTAGATTTTCATGTGCTAGGAGATCGATGTACCATGTGATTTGAATTTTATATTTCTAGTTTTGCAATTTGACATTAAAACATATCTCTTTTGTTTTGAATGATTTATATGCATTTATTGTTTCCGCAATTAAGGGCCCGTAATTGTGTGAGTTTGGGTGATTTACTCTTGCATTCGAGAGAATTGGAATAGATTCGACATAATATAAATCATCGTAGGGTCCGATAGGGGATAGAAATATACCGCTATGCCCTACGTGAATCTTTAAGTGTTCATAAAACTACATGCATTTTTACATATGCACTTGTCATAGAAATATAGGCCGGTGATATATAGAAATAGGTTTGATACATCTCGAGAGAGAGTATTGGATAGACTTAGGAACATTGATTCGTCAACAATTGAATTATGTTGTCATATTGTGAAACTAGAGTTTAAAGTGATAATTGCATGGGAAATCGTGATCCTAGTGTGTTTTATTTCTATTGATTACAACAAACGTGCGTTCTCAACAATTGATTTCATTTTAGAGTTTTAAATTATTGTTTTACTTATTAATTTCATTACAATCATAAAAGCTGCATAAGTAGGGTTTTCTTTCCAATTTTAGAGTTTTAATTAGGTCTACATTCATTTTGAGTAATTTGGTTTCGGTTAAGGTCGAATAAGTAAAATTGAACTAACCAATCTCTGTGGGACGATACTCGGACTCAATGAATCCACTTTATTACTTGTTAACGAACCGTGCACTTGCGATAATTTAAATCGAAAGAAAATATTTCATGAACAAGTTTTTGGCGCCGTTGCCGGGGATTGAGTTTAGTTTAATTTCATTTTTTAGGCACTAATTCGAACTTTAAATTTTTATTTTTATTTATTTATTTATTTTCGTTTAGGTTATTTTATTTTATTTCTATTATAGTTCTTCAAATTGTTTGAATTTGAGTGCTACTACTGGTTTTCTCGCAGAGTTGCATGCCAAGATCGACTGAAGGAGAATTGTTTTCAACTGATCCTGAAATTAAGCGTACTTTTCATCGACTGCAAAGAGAGACTAGAGAAGCACATTTGCAAATGGCTAATGAACTGGACAATCCTATTATCCCAGCCAATGAAGGAGAGACAATGAACGAAGGAAATGAGATTTTGGGCGACTTCTTGACTCCTCAAGTGATTCAAAGCCAGTCCAGCATTATGTATCCACCGTTTGGGCAGCCAAATTTCCAGTTGAAGACAAATGTGATACAGCTATTTAAAAATGGACATCAGTTCTATGGCAAAACCGAGGAGAATCCACATACACACATATCTCGATTTTTAGATATGTGTCAACATTTCAAATATCAAGGAATCTCGGACGATGCTATTAGGGTAAGGCTTTTTCCACACACCTTGCGGGACAAGGCACTTGAATGGTTGGATTCACTTCCTATTGCAAGCATCACTGCTTGGAACAAGTTGGCTCATAAATTCTGCACGAAGTTCTTCTCACCAGCCAAGATAGCGAAACTAAGACATGAGACATCGATATTCAGTCAAGGGGAGTCTGAATCATTTGACGAAGCCTGGAATAGATTCAAAAACATGCTCCGAAAGTGCCCTCAACATGGGTTCGACAAAAAGACCCAAGAACCCAAATCCGATTCTTCTATATAGGGTTACTCCCACACTTCAAAAGCATGGTGGACTCATCATCAGATGGTTCAATTTCCACACGAACAATCGATGGAGCACTGGAATTGTTGGAAAGAATGGCTACCACTTCAGCCATGTGGTCCTCTGAGCGGGTGATTCAGAAGAAGCCTTCGGGTGTCTATGAGGTAGATGCATATTCAGCCATATCTGCGAAGATTGACTCGTTGTTTCACAAGGTAGAAAGCATGTCACAAACAACACAAAATAAGAAGATTAGCTGTGAAGAATGTAGAGCTGAGCATAAAACATCAGAGTGTCCAATTTTAATGCAAGGAGTTGACCAAACAGATTTTGTGCAATGGGGTCAATGCCAACAAAATAACCCACATTCGGAAACCTTCAATCAAGGCTGGAGAAAACACCCAAACTTCTCGTGGAGTAATCAGAATCAAAACAGACCATAAGGTCAATATCAGCAGCAGGACAAAAAGCCACCATTGGAAGAGATGTTTGAGAAGTTCATGGTAACAAACCAATCAGTATATGGAAGCCAACAACCAGTTTATGCGAAGGACAGAAGCAACTCTTCAAGACCAAAGTGCAGCGATCAAGAATTTGGAGACACAAATGGGACAGATGGCAATCTCTATGACGGGTAGAGCACCAAGAAATCTACCCAGCAACACTGAAATCAATCCCAAAGAGCAAGCTAAGGCTATTACAACTCGAAGTGGAGTGCAATTACCGGAAATCCATGTCAAGAAATCAGGTGTGACTGTAGAGACATCCTCCCCTGCTGAAGATGAGACTGCTGTAAAGGAATCAACTCCAGGGGAAAATTCAGAAAAATCACAGGATAAGGCCAAGGTTACAGTCAACCCATACGAGACTCCAATTCCCTTTCCACAGCGGTTGAAGAAGCATAAAATGGAGCAGCAGTATAAGAAATTTCTAGAAGTCTTCAAAAAGTTCCATATCAACATCCCACTAGCCGATGCACTATTACAAATGCCCAGCTATGCAAAATTTCTAAAAGACATATTATCAAATAAACGCAAGCTGGAGGATCATGAAACAGTAATGCTAACCGAAGAGTGCAGCGCAAGAATTCAGAAAAAGCTTCCACCAAAATTGAAAGATCCAGGGAGTTTCACTGTCCCGTGCACAATTGGTGATTTTTATTTTAATAAAGCATTGTGTGATCTTGGTGCGAGTATTAATCTTATGCCTTTATCTATTTTCAAGAGACTAGGATTAGAAGAGCCTAAAGCAACTACAGTAACTCTACAGTTGGCTGATCGATCACTTACACATCCACGAGGGATTATTGAAGATGTATTGGTCAAAGTGGATAAACTTATATTCCCAGCTGACTTCTTAATACTGGACATGGAAGAAGACAAGGACGTGCCTATCATATTGGGACGACCATTTTTGGCTACTGCAAGAACGCTTATAGACGTACACATGTGGTAATTTAAATCGAAAGAAAATATTTCGCGAACAGTTATCATGAAATGAAAAACCACTTTTCATTGGCTCGATTCCAATCGAATTAGACTAGCAATTCGCCAAAAATGAACAAATCCGAAGTTATCATGAAATCAAAATCGACTTTTCATTAGCTCGATTCCAATCGATTTACACTAGCAATTAGCCAAAAAACGAACAAAGCCGAAGTTATCATGAAATCAAAAACCACTTTTCATTGGCTCGATTCCAATCGATTTAGACTAGCAATTCCCCGAAAACCAACAAACCCGAAGTTGTTATGAAATCAAACTCAACTTTTCATTTGCTCGATTCCAATCGATTTAGACAAGCAATTCGCCAAAAAGGAACAAACCTGAAGATATCGTGAAATGAAAAACCACTTTTCATTGGCTCGCTAACAATCAAATTAGACTAGCAATTCATCAAAAATGAACAAACCCGAAGTTATCATGAAATGAAAAACAACTTTTCAATGGCTTGATTCCAATCGAATTAGACTAGTAAGTCGCCAAAAATGAAGAAACCCGAAGTTATCATGAAATAAAAAACTACTTTTCATTGGCTCGATCCCAATCGAATTAGACTAGCAATTCGCCAAAAAGAACAAACCCGAAGTTGTCGTGAAATCAAAATCAGCTTTCCATTAGCTCGATTCCAATCGATTTAGACAGCAATTCGCCAAAAAGAAACGAACCTGAAGTTATCATGAAATGAAAAACAGCTTTTCATTGGCTCGATTACAATCGAATTAGACTAGCAATTCGTAAAAAATGAACAAACTCGAAGTTATCATGAAATGAAAAATCACTTTTCAATGGCTCGATTCCAATCGAATTGGACTAGCAATTTACCAAAATGAAAAAACCCGAAGTTATCATGAAATGAAAAATCCCTTTTCATTGGCTCAATTCCAATCCAATTAGACTACCAATTCGCCAAAACGAACAAACCCGAAGATATCATGAAATAAAAAGTCACTTTTCATTTGCTCGATTCCAATCGATTAGACTAGCAACTCGCCAAAAACGAACAAATTCGAAGTTATCATGAAACGAAAAACCACTTTTCTTTAGCTCGATTCCAAATGAATTAGACTAGCAATTCACAAAAACCGAAGAAACCCGAAGTTAAATGAAATGAAAAACCACTTTTCTTTGGCTCGATTCCAATTGAATTAGATAGCAATTTGCCACAAATGAACAAACTCAAAGTTATCATGAAATCAAAAGCCACTTTTCATTGGCTCGATTTCAATCTATTTGCACTAGCAATTCGCCAAAAACGAACAAACCTAAAGTTATCATGAAATGAAAAACCACTTTTCTTTGACTGGATTCCAATCGAATTAGATAGCAATTCGCCAAAAATGAACAAACTCAAAGTTATCATGAAATCTCAAGCCACTTTTCACTTGCACGATTCCAATCGATTTAGTCTAGCAATTCGCCAAAAACGAACAAACCCGAAGTTATCATGAGATCAAAAGCCACTTTTCATTGGCTCGATTCCAATCGAATTAGATCGCAATCCGTCAAAAATGAACAAACCAAAATTATCATGAAATCAAAAGGCACTTTTCACTTGCTCGATTCCAATCGATTTAGACTAGCAATTCGCCAAAAACGAACAAACCAAAGTTATCATGAAATTAAGAACCTCTTTTCATTGGCTAGATTCCAATCGAATTAGACTAGCAATTCGCCAAAAACGAACAAACCCGAAGCTATCATAAAATGAAAAATCACTTTTCATTGGCTCGATTCCAATCGAATTAGACTAGCAGTTCGCCAAAAACGAACAAATCCGAAGTTATCATGAAATGAAAAACCACTTTTTATTGGCTCGATTCCAATTGAATTATACTAGCAATTCGTCAAAAATGAACAAACCAGAAGATATCATGAAATCAAAATCTACTTTTCATTAGCTCGCTTCAAAACGATTTAGACTAGCAATTCGCCAAAAATGAACAAACCCGATGTTATCATGAAATGAAATACCACTTTTCTTTTGCTCGTTTCCTATCTATTTATACTTGCAATTCGCCAAAAATAAACAAACCCGAAGTTATCATGAAATCAAAAGCCACTTTTCATTCATTTGATTCCAATCGATTTAGACTAGCAATTCAGCAAAAAACAAACAAACCCGAAGTTATCATAAAAATGAAAAAAAAAAACACATTTCATTGGCTCGAATCCAATCGAATTAGATTAGCAATTCACCAAAAACGAACAAACCCCAAGTTATCATGAAATCAAAAACCACTTTTCATTAGCTCGGTTCTAATCGAATTAGACTAACAATTCGCGAAAAAATGAACAAACTAAAGTTATCATGAAATCAAAAACCACTTTTCATTGGCTCAATTCCAATCAAATTTTACTAGCAATTCGCCAAAAATGAATAGATCCGAAGTAATCGTGAAATAAAAAACCACTTTTCAATAGCTGGATTCGAATCGAATTAGACTACCAATTCACCAAAATGAACGAACCCGACGATATCATGAAATCAAAAGCCCCAATTCGTCAAAAATGAACAAAGCCGAAGTTGTCATGAAATGAAAAACAACTTCTTTTTTGCTCGATTCCAGTCGAATTAGACTAGCAATTTACCAAAAATGAACAAACCCAAAGTTATCAAGAAATCAAAAGCCACTTTTCATTGGCTCGATTCCAATCGATTTAGACTAGCAATTTGCCAAAAATGAACAAACCCGAAGTTATCATCAAATGAAAAACCACTTTTCTTTGGCCCGATTCTAATCGAATTTGATTAGCAATTCGTCAAAAATGAACAAACCCTAAGTTATCATGAAATCAAAAGCCACTTTTCATTGGCTCGATTCCACTCGATTTACACTAGCAATTTACCAAAAACGAACAAACTCGAAGTTATCAAGAAATGAAAAACCACTTTACTTTGGCTCAATTCCAATCGAATTAGACTAGTAATTCGCCAAAAACTAACAAACCCGAAGTTATCATGAAATAAAAAGCCACTTTTCATTGGCTCGATTCCAATCGAATTGGACTAGCAATTCGCCAAAAACAAACAAACCCGAAGTTATCATGAACTGAAAAACCACTTTTCATTGGCTCGATTCCAATCGAATTGGACTAGCAATTCGCCAAAAACAAACAAACCCGAAGTTATCATGAACTGAAAAACCACTTTTCATTGGCTCGATTCCAATCGAATTGGACTAGCAATTCGCCAAAAACAAACAAACCGGAAGTTATTATGAAATCAAAAGCCACTTTTCATTGGCTCGATTCCAATCGAATTAAACTAGCAATTCCCTAAAACCAAACAAACCGAAGTTATCATGAACTGAAAAACCACTTTTCATTGGCTCGATTCCAATCGACTTAGACTAGCAATTCGCCAAAAACGAACACACCCGAAGTTATCAGGAAATAAAAAACCACTTTTTATTGGCTCGATTCCAATTGAATTAGACTTGCAACTTGCCAAAAATGAAAAAACCAGAAGTTATCATGAAATCAAAATCGACTTGTCATTAGCTCGATTCCAATCGATTTAGACTAGCAATTCGTAAAAAATTAACAAACCCGAAGTTATCATGAAATGAAAAACCACTTTTTTTTTGCTCGATTCCAATCGAATTAGACTAGCAATTCGTAAAAAATGAACAAACCCGAAGTTACCATGAAATCAAAAGCAACTTTTCATTGGCACGATTCCAATCGAATTGGACTAGCAATTCGCCAAAAACGAACAAACCTGAAGTTATCATCAAAATGAAAACCACTTTTCTTTGGCTCGATTCCAATCGAATTAGACTAGCAATTCGCCAAAAATGAACAAATGTGAGTTATCATGAAATCAAAAACCACTTTTCACTAGCTCGATTCTAATCGAATTAGACTAGCAATTCGCAAAAAAAATGAACAAACCCGAAGTTATCATGAAATCAAAAACCAGCTTTCATTGGGTCAATTCCAATCAAATTAGACTAGCAATTTACCAAAAATAAACAGATTCGAAGTTATCATGAAATCATAAACTACTTTTTATTAGCGGGATTCGAATCGAATTAGACTACCAATTCACCAAAATGAACAAACCCGAAGATATCGTGAAATCAAAAGCCACTTTTCATTGGCTCGATTCCAATCATTTTAGACTAACAATTCTCTAAAAATGAACAAACCCGAAGTTATCATAAAATGAAAAAGCCACTTTTCATTGGCTCGACTCCAATCGAATTGGATTACCAATTCGCCAAAAATGAACAAACCCGAAGTTATTATAAAATGAAAAACCACTTTTCAATGGCTCGATTCCAATCGAATTAGACTAGCAATTCGTCAAAAACGAACAAAGCCGAAATTATCATGAAATCAAAATCGACTTTTCATTAGCTCGATTCCAATCGATTTACACTAGCAATTTGTCAAAAACGAACAAAGCCGAAGCTATCATGAAATCAAAAACCACTTTTTATTGGCTCGATTCCAATCGATTTAGACTAGCGATTCCCCGAAAATCAACAAACCCGAAGTTGTCATGAAATCAAACTCAACTTTTCATTAGCAATCGATTTAGACAAGCAATTCGCCAAAAAGGAACAAACCCGAACATATCGTGAAATGAAAAATCGCTTTTCATTGGCTTGATAACAATCGAATTCGACCAGTAATTCGCTAAAAGCGAACAAACCCGAAGTTATCATGAAATGAAATGTCACTTTTCAATGGCTCGATTCCAATCGAATTAGACTAGCAAGTCGCCAAAAATGAACAAACCCGAAGTTATCATGAAATAAAAAACTACTTTTCATTGGCTCGATCCCAATCGAATTAGACTAGCAATTCGCCAAAAACGAACAAACCCAAAGTTATCAGGAAATCAAAAGCCCCTTTTCATTGGCTCGGTTCAAATCTATTTAGACTAGCAATGCACCAAAAAATGAACAAACTCGAAGTTTTCACGAAATGAAAAACCACTTTTCT